ATAATAATAATAATAAAAATAATATTAATAATAAAAATAATAATTATATATAAAAAAAATAATAATAATAATCACTTCACTATAATATATTTCTGTTGAAAAGCGACATATATTTCCTTCTTTTTCTGTATTGAACAACATTTTTAAGTGCTGGTATGACAGATAAAATGCTGGGAATTTACTATTGTATTTATGAAAAATTTACATTCGTATTTATGTATTTAATAAGTGACTTCAAAATTTAAAATTTTTTTTATTGTAGTTCTCAGATATATTTTTAAACCACGCCAACTATTTGACCACCCGCTGTTCTGGTGTACAACTTCCAGCTAAAATCGCAAGAGCCTTATCAGAAACATTAAAAAAATTAAAAAAATTTGAAAAAAATTAAAAATAACAATAATTAAACTCTTAAACGTGCTTATAATGAATGTAATTTTTTTTTGTTTTACAAATTTAGCTCATTTCATCGGTTGAGTTCAACGAAAATCCCACAAACATTTAAGCGCAAATCTTGAGTTTCGTCCGAAAGCAATCATCATTAATTATAGACGAAAAGACTTTGAACTTGTGTAATGCCGTCGGATTAGCCAATTAGCAAAAATATGGAAACGTTTATGATTTGGATATTTGGATATTATTTAATTTTGGGTTAATAGTTTAAAATAAAGCATGAACAATTTGTGTAATAATTAATCAATTTAAATAAATTTAAACTATAAAGATTTTACAAAAATAAAAAAAAAAAATGAAAAAAAAAATAAAATAAAAATAAAATAATTTTAAGTGAGCTTCGATATTATTTATACGTTAGACATTAGTAAGTAGTTGTTGAATAATAATTAGGTTGAATAATATAATTTAGAAAACAATTAATTCAGCATTTTATTAGATTTAATAATAAAATCATTTAAAAGCTATTAAACAATACTGGAAAAAAAGATTAGGATTTAATTGTTAAGCAGCTTACATGCTCAGAAAAATCGTTATATGCGCAATTTTACACGTACGATTTGCATTTCGAAGCAACTTTCAATTATTTTTTCCAACGAAATCGTTGAGATACACAAAATGTATCTAAGTGGCTTAAGGAAAATTGCAGCGCAGCATTTCAAATGTGGAATAATTTTATATAATATATATAAAATTTATTTTTATATTCCACAACAATGACGACAAGTCAAGTGCATTTAGATTATATAAATTAAAACCTTGTTTACAAACTGCTATAGAAAAATTAAATTCTCGAAAATATACTTGTCATACCTGTAAGGTTTGAAACTATTAGACAAATAAAAAAAAAAAATGTATCTGTAGATGAAAAATTTATGTTGAAAAGTTAAAACTATATAGTTAAAATAATGGCGTCAAAATTTTCAATTCCGCTTCCTTTCGCGAGAGTGGGTTAAATGCGTTTCGCTCTCTATTTGGGTCATGGCCCCTACGTATTTGCTAAATTTTCTAAAGTTTTCCTCCATGAAAAACTATTTATTGCAGTGCAGATACTGCCGGTGCTGCCCAGATTCAAGCGAAAACTGCTGGCAGCAACAAACAATTATTTTAGTTGAAACAATTATTTTGATACAATATTTTACTTAACAATATTTCCAAAAATAGTTTCAACTTATCGAATAAAATACAATTTAAAGTTTTTGACTTCCCATACTTGACTCATAAAATAAAATGCTAAATTTTAACTATTGTTGCAAGTGCAATATAGTAAATTGCAGGCGAAAACAATTCTCAAGTGCAACAAATTTAAAAAAAAATATTTCATAAATATTTCATAAAATTTAACATTATTATTAACAAAAAATATTTAATACATTTTTTTTTTATTTTTCATAATTATTACTGAGCTTAGGTTATGTATTTAGCACATAAAAATTAAAAATGTTTTTTTTTTTAAATAAAAATAATAATTTTAATAATTTAAATGTATATTAATTTTTGTAAAAAATTATTTGTATTACAGATTTGTAAAACAATTTATCAAAAAATATTTATAAATTTTAATTCTAAAAAGTTTAAAATTATTAACAAAAAATAAATTGAAATAGTCTTTTAAATAGTTATGGAAAAAATTTAATTTTATTAAATCCAAGATTTTACATTAAAGATACATATTAAAGTTATTATATCATCAAAAATAACTTATACTTATAGATAATATCAAAAACGTTAATTAAGTAACACTTTACAAAGTTAATATTAAATATATAACAATATTTATAAATATTTATATTGAATAATTTTATACACTCCCATTATAACAAAATGTTAACTTAATTTAAAATAGAAAATAATTAACTGAATCAATTATATTTACATTGTAATAATTTAGTTAACATACACAGTGAAAAATAATTAGTTTAACTAAAGGTTTTATAAGAAAATATATTATATATTTTCTATATATAAATTTGTTAATATAAACTTATGTATGGATTTGGCAATATTACTAATCTTACAGTTTGACGGCCTCGAACATTGAGTTTACATGTCATTTCCATTTCTGGATTATTGTATCTTATCCTATCACTATATAATTTCTTTAACTGCAGTTGTATTCTGCTTTGGATTATAAAACGCTATTATTATTAAATACCTACTTAATATTAATATATACCAATTTGTATAATGTATAATAAACACCTATTTTATAATAATAGGGTTTTTCAGTTCCCGAGCAATTAATATTACCTAATTAAGAATTTATTTAGATAGAAAATTAACATCGTGTAAACATATAGTAAGAAAAAATATGCAAATCAAACTTACAGCTATTAAGCTGCCCTGACAGATTAGTCAAATATATTGAGAATGATCACTGGAGTATTAAGAGTATTCCAAGGTACATCACAAGTAAGAAAATACATGAATATAGTCAATCTCAGTCAAATATATTAAGAGTAATCTAAGGTACATCACATATAAGAAAATATTTGAATATACCCAAGTTCAGTCAAAAATATTAAGAGTAATCACTGGAGTACCAAGGTACATTTACATAAGAAAATACACGAAGATCCTCAAGAACCCTTGATTAAATCAGAATTCGTATTATTAAACTAATTTGGACATAAGGTTTTTAACTATTTGAGAACTCAAGTGCTTCAAACAATAATAGCCTGTAAACAATTCAGTGAAATATATTAAAAGTAATCACTGGAGGTACATTACACATAAAAGAATAAACGAAGATCCTTAAGTAGCTTTGATTGAAACAGAATTCATATTATGAAACCAATTAAAATATAAAACCTTCAATTGTATGAGAAAACAAATGATTCAATCATTAATATTCCATAAGCAAGTCAATCAGTTAAGACTGATCACTTGATCGTGAGCATCAGAGTATATCATAAAAAAAACATCCACGAAAATCCTCAAATATTGAATATATCAGAATTTACATAAATTACACAAATTTTATGTTGAGAAACTATATGCTCACGTCAACTCTTTAGCCAGAAACCGTGTTTCTACAACAAGATACTTCTATTTAAAAAGATCAGACCGGCTAGCCATAAATCAAATCTAAACTGACCTCATCATTATTGCCGTTATTATTTTCTCTATCACTTTCTTCAAAAATATTGTTTATTGAAATGTATGCTTTTCTCCAATAGGAGATCATTTTCTAAGGCTATGAAATAATGGTTCTATATATATGGTGTCTCTATAGACATAGTTCATGTAACTGCAATGTATGCTTATTTATTCAGGCAGTGATCAGTCATTACTCCAATTTTTATCTTAGAAAGTAACATGTTTAGGTTAAAATATTTTGGAATAAGGGCTTGGCACAGCGAAATCGTCTCATATTAGTGCACTTCTGGTTAACTTTACTGAAGGAGTTTGATTTTATTATATTTTTGAAGTGTTTTTCTAACTTTTAGAATTCATTTACTTGAGACAACTTTCTTCATCAATTCATTTGCTACGTCATCGCCTTCAAGACCACATTCAAAGCCTTACAAAGAAACTAGTACTAATATCATAGACAATAGCAAGGACATTTTTTAAGGTTATGTTAGATATATAAAAAGTTAATAAATGTTCTGACATTACTTTCTTCATCATTCTTTAATTATTCGTGCATTAAAATAAAAGTTCAACTAAGCTACCATTAGACTGCTTCATTGCATCACTTTTTTAAGTTATCGTAATTTATACACTATATATATAGAATTGGAATAGTTATTTATTGGAAACTGTTCTAGTTTAATATATTCTCTTATATAATATGCTTTTCACAAATAAAAAATATACGCGTCCTTAAATAATTATATGGAGAAGTATGGTAAGATTTGTAATTTCCTTTATCAGCTCGTGACGTTAACTTTAATATAATATTTTTCAATTCCTATCTCGTGGTGGTTGCAGAAGATAGGATGTGTCCTGCCAGCACTAAAACCAACCAAATTAACCAGTGGCTATAAAAATATTTAATTATATTTTTTAATTACTGAAAATTGCAATATAATAAGTTTCAGTGTGGAGAGTAAACAAACGCTACCGCCATTAACGTTTAAGAATATGTCAAGGTTGATATAAAAGCCCCTTTAATGACAGCAATTATAGTAAATATAATTATCAATAATTAATTACTTGCCTCATCAACAATATGAAAGGCTTTATTTTACAATAAAAATTAAATTATGAAATAATTCATTTTAACTTGTTCCGTTGGCTTTGTCTTCCTGGCACAAATATTTCTATTACTTTTACATATTAAATGGGGGCCTTTGTTTAAATCCCAGCAATTTAATTAATAAAATACTATTGTTGAAGGCAGAAATAACTAATTCCTATTAAATTTTATATAATCTTCAAAATGACACAATCATAAATGTTAAAATTCACAAAAACAAACTATGAAATAGAATTTCAATTAAAATATGTATCTCATGAATGTATCTCATGCATATTATTGTGCAAGTACAATATATGGTATATGACTTATTTTCTATATAAAAAGTATGCAAAATACTCACCTTAATTACGTTTTTAATCCGAAATTGACAATCCAATTAAATGTTATTTAATTTGTTTATTTGTAGATTTATGCTGGTCTTATTTTGTTCATACGGATATATTTGTGTGAATTTAGCAAAGGTCACGTGTACACATATGCATTTGGAACTAACTATCTGTCAAGCACAGATACACTCTACGCAGTCAGAGTTATATAAACACAACACAACACAACATAACACAACACAACACAATAAAAACACAATAAAGGCAATAGCAAAAGTAGGATCAACTGACTAACTGACTGTGTTGTAACTTAAAATAAACTGTGTATCCTGTGTATCCTTTTCGCTAAGTACTAATGGCGGCGTTTGCACGTATATATGTATAAGTATCGGTGGAAGGATATGTCGACGTAAGTTGACAGGAAAGTACTGCCGTGCTGCCGAGCTGCCGAGCTGTTTACCGCACTCTATTAAAACTTCACTTTTATTCTTTGAATATTTTTTTTTTGTATCCTTCGGATATTTTTTTTATATCCTTCGGATATTTTTATTTACGTATCTGTTTATTTATTTATTTTACAGTCAGTCTTTGTGTTGTGTATCTTTTTTATTTGTGTAGGCGTTAGGATTTTTCAACTCAACTTAGGTAGCTACTTAACGCTTTCACTCTGCATGTATTTATAGTTTGTTGGTCGTTTGGTTGATGAGCTTTCAGCATTTGGCGTGGTGGCGTAGCACCTTAGTGTGGTGTGGGCGGTGGGAAGTTGGGATTTCCTACAATGTTTGCGGAGCATACGAGTATATTTTCTTAATTAGCATAACGAGGTGCAAATTAATCCACTTTAGTTAATTAAATTGCAAAAGAAAATGAAAACTAATTCATGTGCTTTGCAATTTCTGTTTATTTATTTTTTATTTGACACTGAGAAAAAAGTTGCGCTACACTTTTAATATACTTTTAATACACTCTTAATTCTCTTGTTTATATATTTTATAGTAATTTTAATTTGTTTGTAATTTCTATTTCATTTTCTTATAATTTTATTTTTACAAAGTTTTATAAATCCATTTTTTTTTCGTGTAGGTATAATTTACTTACAATAATTTATTTCATAATTTTTATTTATATTTCACTTCATAATATATTACGAAAATTGAAGTATAATAAATAATTAATAATCAATTTTTAATTTCACTTGTTTACCAGTACGTTTTTTATTTATAGTCTTGCGAAGTTTTTGTTTCATTTTACAACAGATACATTTATAAAAATTTTTTCACAATTTTTAAGTTTGTTATTTTATTAATTTTCTTTCTGTAATAAAAAAAATGTTTATAAGTAATTAAATTAATTTTAGAATATGTACGCGTACAGAAACTGTTTAGATACTTATAATTTTATACTGATTCAATTGACAGACATAATTCTATAAAATGTGAATAAATAATAAAAACTCAAAAGTAATAATAAATATTTATTAGTAATTTATATTCTCTAAGTGAATTTAATAATCATGTAATAAAAGTTAACTAACAATTAATCAATAACTATTAAACATTAATTTATTAATAAATATACAAATTATTTAATTAATAATAATTATTCACTAATTAATTATTGTTGTTAGTAATTCTCATTATTTTTACATACTCATTTCATTTGGAGTATGTGAAAATCATCGATAGCCAAACGTAATTCTCATTTTTTTGAATTACAAATAAAAATAATGAAATCTAATAATATTAAGATCAAGTTGTATCTAACTCGTTGCCGTAATCTCACTACTAAATTCTATACATAAAAAACCAAGCGCATTCCCAATCTAACTCGTCGCTGTCAGCTTCTTCCTAATATTTTACGCACCGAAGAACATTTCACAAAGCTTTTTCAAGTTCTCTTCCATACGAAATTCTCTCTTCATAGAGTATACTCTTAGAGAGTCTTCAACTTTTGTAAATATCCACTATATATCATACTAACATTCTCACTCCCAGCTTAAATAAAGCTGTCCCAGCTTCTTATACTTTACCCCCTAATTACTAGAATGTAATTTCTGCTGGAACTCTGTAACCGTCTGATGGTTAAGATCGTTTTAACTTGTTCGTAAGAGGTGGTTTTTATGAGTTCAAGTCTCATACCGTGGCCTACCGCAAAAAAAAAATAAAATACCTCAAGTTGCGTACTAAGTAACTGTTCGCAGCTTAGATCGCTACAGTTCTGGAGTTAGTGTGCACCACTAACTATTTTCAACTTTCAAATCTTCTTCGTCCAAAATCTCTTAACATAACACCTTCAACTATTATTCATAACATATCTTAAACTTAGATAAACAAGGCTACTGCAATATGAAGCAATCCTCTAACTAGATGGAGGATAGAGAAACGTCTCACAAATATATTCCATGAAACACGCATCTCTCTCTCTCTCTTTTATCCTCATCTCCTAGTGGAGCATAGGGCGCATCTTACCTACCCGAAATTTTGACATCAAACATAGGTAGTGAAAAAATAAAATTTAACCGTGGCAGAAATAATTTAATACCTCTCTAACGTCTGTTTAACTAGGTTATGTGTTTTTGAGAACGGGTGACAATCCTTGCAGTAAGCAATTCTCTATTAAAAGCTGTAATAAATTAGTGGTTGAAAACGGGCGTTAGTAACGAATCCTCTATAAAACGCCATTATACAAAGACTTTAAACAGAAAGGTAAGTCCCTTCGATGATATAAAGCCCAATCCTATAACCTGTCATTATAAAAACACATCATTATTAAATGATATTATTATTATTAAATGATATTATTATTTAATATCATTATTACAAAAAAATGTATCTTTATTAATTTTATGCAAGTAAACGAATTATTATAATCGAAGTGATACTGGTAGGGATCTTAATTTGTATAGAGCACAACTATCATTATGGGTGAAACCAACTTATCTAAGGAAAATTTGCTTTCTACTAGTTTTTTAGTATTAATCTGACGGACGAATATATCGAAAGGAATCAAACTTTAGAAGGTAGTGAGTCTTTTTCATTAGAAATCATTATTAATATTTTTATTATTCCAATGAAAATAATATTTGGAATTTTATGAATTTTTAATGTATCTTTAATTATCCGACCTATTAATATTCACAATGATATATGCTTATAGTTATCTCAACTAATAAACTAAAGATGTCTTTGTCAAAATATTTTCATTTTGTGTCTTTTCTTTGAAAATTTTTAATAGATTTTTCACTAAAAATATTATTTATATTACTATGACATGTCAAACATTTATTAGAAAATAATCAGAAAAGACATAAAAATTTATTTAAAAAAATTTTAATAAAAAATTAAACAAAAAAAAAATTATAATAAAAATAAAAAATAATAATTTAATTGCTTATATTTATAATGAATTTTCAGCGTCAATGTAAATGTTTTTATATATAATATTCTGTGAATACATCTTAAACCTTAAGTACTTATAATAAATAGGAATTAGAGTTCAATATTAATATTCATTTATTATTAAAGATTGGATGAGTTTCAAACAAACTACTAAAATCGATCAAATTTTCTGTGCCCGATATATATTAAAAGAAGGATTGATTAAAAAAGATTAAACATAAACCATTTTATTGTAGATAACAAATAAACTATAGATAAATTAAATAGACAATTTATCTAGAACAGGATTAAAAATCGCGGCATATCAAACAAACTGTGGCCAGAATGATAAAATATAGAGTGTAAAATAATATTCGAGTCTAAAATGAGATCTTACGACCCTTCAAAACCAAATAAAAAGTAAGTTAGTTGATTATATATTAAAAATAAATATAATAAAATATATAATAAGTTAGTTGATAAAATTATTTGTCTTCGCAATAGAACAATTTATAAGAGATATGGAACTGTTACATACTAACTCTATTTTTAGAAGATTCAATATAGATAAATGATCAGCAGATCACGTATATTTATGAAAGAAGCTTTAATAAAAGAAGAAGAATAATTAAAAAAGTGAGGAATTCAAATATATTAATGCTTAACGAAAAGTCCAAAAGCTTAAAACCAGCATTGCGACGATGATGACGCAAAACTTGAAGTTGCTGATCTCCACCACTTATTGTTTAAATGATATCACGGAAAGAATCAACTCGACAATCTTCAACATTAATTTCGGTTTCTGTATATTTTATATAGGCTTTACTTAAGAATAACCTCTACCTTAACAAAATATTCGACCAATAACCCGAATACGATATATGGATCCAAAGAATGTCAGTTATATATACCATAGAATGTCTTTGGATTGAAAATTTCAGGGAAGAAAAATGACAGACAATATTTACCAAACTCGCAACGAGACAGAAGATAAATTTAAGTAATAATATATACCGTTTATAAAATAATGGAGAACAAAACAAGATATTTAATATCAAGTCAAAGATATTAATATGAGGTGATCCCTCCCGAAGAAGATGAGGTCGAAGTCGGACAGACCATTCCGGTGACAATTGGTATGATGGTGCATAAAGCATCACCTCCTTGCCCACCAAAAAAAAAATCGAAACTCGAATATATATTAAAAAATATTTATTCCAGTAAAGCCGAATAAAGCCTACAATCTAATCAATATTGAGCCTGTTAGATAAATGAATTTGAAATAATCATATCCAAACTTTATTGCAACCTGGTAAATTTTTTTTATTTTAGTGTTATTTACAGTTAATCTAACATATCAAATACTATTTAAATATTACATTAATTATTTAATATTATTTAATACATTAGAAAAGAATTGTCAAAAAAAAGTTCGAACACAATGGAGACTTATATCGAAACACAAAACGTCTTAGATGAATCTGTAATTTCAAAAACAATGGTTTGAAAGTATTCTGGTCAATTTAAAAGTGATCTGTACGAGCATTTACAGCAGTTCACATAAAGGACGTTCAAAAATATCATCACTATACATGATGTTTAAGTCTACCGTTACGATACGAATAAAAACACAAACCTGCAAAGTGTTCTAAAACTGGCACTTTGGCTTCGAAACATGTTTAATTCTAAAACTTTTATTTAGAAAGTGTTAATGTCAGTTTTTTGGGACTAAAAGAAAAACTGGAACACCATTATTTGAAAGGTTGAATCTGAGCTCTGGCAGTTTTGTCTAGAATACTAATGATGATCTGCATAAATATTCAGTAGTTTTGCTCGCTTGGTTATGTCGCGTGAGTGGAACAAAGTGCTCTGGCTAGAAAGGTAATTGGTTCGGTAAAAAATACGGAGAGGACGTTCTCATTTTAAATAGAAAGACCAGGTGGCCAACAATTTTCAGACGTTCGATATCACTAACTGTCGACAGCAAGCCACTCTTCGGGTTGATTGGCGAAGACTACTGCAAGCGGCCATGGATGACTCACGTCTGTAATGGGCGTGAGGTAAGTATGTTAACATGATATAAATTTTAAACAAACCCAGTAAAACAATAAAGAAAACTGGTACAGCAAGACTAAAAATGAACTATAGCAGATTTGCCAGGAATGATAATAATGATTATTAATAAATTTATAGTTTAAATTTCATTTAAATTTCATTTTAAATTAATTTAACTATTATGTTCTAAATTAGAAAGAATCCATTAAAAACAGTAAGGAAAACAGGTAGAACAAGGTCATATTATCTGTGTATTATAGTCTTTAATACACAGATTTTAATTCATTATTTAAAGTTATGTTAAGATAATATGGATTCAAATGCTATATCTCAGATTGAAAAAGAGTTCGGAAAATATAGATAAAACTGTAAAAGTGTTGCACTAAGGATGATGTTGAAGATGATGATATTTTATACGAGTATATGATATTTAAGATCTCTACACTTATGTTAGATTAATATGAATTTTATTAATATTACACCATACCAGTATTCTAGA